TCAACTTTTGCAGTTTTACAGCAAGCTCCTTTCACCCTTAGGACCGAGATGCACCTCCTTCCAAAGGATAACCACGTTTTTCAGAACCTGAGTCCTCAACCCAACCTCAGTTCCTACCTCATTCACCATCCCATCAATGATGTGTATAGGGATTCACTGAAAGCGAAAAGTACAAGGAAAACCAAATTATGCAGCTCTTACAAAAAAAAAAAGTTAACATTTTTGTCAAATGAAGTGCAATATCAAAGGAACAGCTGTCACGAAGTTCTCAGCCTTTAAGTTATCCCCATGACTAATGGCATGTCCCTCTGCCCACAAGACAGCACAATTTTAAGCTCCCCTGATAAACCATCACTAAGACAAGTACCATTTATTGCAGTTCTTCAGCCAGTGTCTTCACTTTTACATAACAAGATTAAGTTGAGAGCAGGGGATGTGCAGGCTTGATTCACAACAAGAAAAACATTGCCTGTCAGATTGCGCTTCCACACAGAGTCACCAGAGCTAGAATCCCACCAGTAAGTGGACAGCAGTAAATCAGAAATAGGCAGGACATGATGAGCCTCCATCAACCCCAAACTCCATTTCTTCCCTTTGAGCCACAGTCATCTCTGTTTCTGTGGCTATAAATTGATGAACTACTCAAAATTACTTGAAGAAAAATCTGTTAGGTTCAAGGCTACAATCAGTTAATCCACTCCCTACAAAGCAGTCACAGCAAACAAATATCCTTCCTAAAGATGCCTACACTGACCTCACTGACCAATGATAATAAACAACTGGGTGAGAAGCTTTTTTTCTACCTAATCTATGGTTACATTTATTGTCACATCAAAAAGAAACTCCATTGAAAAATATAATCGGACATTTTCTTAACAGTAGTGACTTATCACACACTTTCCTTCTGTTTGATGTTTGAAAGTGTGTTCATATCTGCTGCTTCCGAACTCACATGACACTTCCTGTATCATAGCGAAAAAAGTCTATCCCTCCAGGCTATAGAATCCATCCCCCACCCACAAACATGGACCAAGCATAAAACGATTAAGTTTTCAAATTTCCACAATACAACAGTTACAAGAGACAAACAGCAGTTTCCATAAAAATGCAAGAAAAAATAAGTTTAAGTGCAGCTAAATTTCTATTAAAAATAACACTATGACAACAGAAGTCTTCATTTATTTCCAAGTGTTCAAACTGTTATTACACGTATGCCATTTAACTATTTTTTTATTTGAACATTAAGGTAATTACAGTTGGAGGGCTCGTATTTCCCGTGGCTTCTCTGCAGTAGATACCACTTAGAGCAAAACATGAAACATTCCACACGGTTAACAATATGACATTTGAGTTACCAGAATTACAATCATCAGTTCTTTTGCTAACAGATCACATAAGAAGTACGTAACTGGGACATTTCCTTTAACAGAAATATGAAACTTAGTACTGCATTGGACTAATTTCAATGTGAACATCTCTACATAAGAGCAACATCGTACATGACAGTTTGATTTATCACACATATGGTACTTTGGCAGCTCTAACTGTGATGTATTTTTCCTCCTAAGCTCCATTGTAAGTTTTAATTTATAAAACATATTGCTAATATGCCCTGCATAAACATCAAGAATGACATGCATCTTTCTTTTGCCACTTCAATGGGAAAGGGAGCAGTGTTTTTTATCTCGCATTACACAGCCTTTTCATACATGCACAATTTTCTTCCATGGACACTTCTACATGTACCCTAACTACTATGTTGTCTGCAAGAAAATAATATTTGTTCAAAAAAATCTGAATTTTCTTCTCAAATTAGAAAGACTACAGCCGTAGACAATTACCTGCCAAATCACTCCAACTATTTATTTCAAAATAACAATGACTGTGTCAAATTTTTATCAAGTAACAAGCACATCAGTCATCTGAGGTGCAATGAATTCCCTCACGATTCAGCCTATCCTATTTTGAGTTCATTTGTGAAACTGACTGGTTTACTTACTTAGTTACCTTTTTTGTAGGACATTCATGCAGATCTTAACATTGGCTCAGGTAAAATATATGGTATTTTATCATTATTACAGGCAGAAATATATCTGGCAGACGGAAAACTATTTTTAAACACACAACCTAAATAAAATCAAACTGCCCCAAGTTTTATCAAGTAAAATGGGATAAACAGCTCCAGTAATTATCACCACAAATTCAGCAAGGGGATTATCTATAAATAGGAACTAATAGTTCTTGGTTAACAAATACCAATTTCTTTGAACATCTCTACCATCAGTTTCTACAACAGAACTAATCACTATATTAAAACTTTGTCACTTCCAAAAGAATGAATATAATTCTCCACCTTCCTGAACACAATTATATTTTACTCTCATACACAACTGCCAGCCAATGACCTACTACCACAGTAATCTAAGAGAGGACAATGTTTCCTCTAATATAATCATGCACTTTAAAAGAAGCCACATTAAATTTTTGAGGTAATATGGGTGAAATCTGGTTGCAAAATTTCAGATTTAAAGAAAAGTATACACATACCACAAACAAAAAAACACCTGGAACCTGTCAATAGTGATCTGGTTTTCATTCACACATCTGTGAAATTTTAACAGATACTTCATATTTATTCTATTTGGTCCAAATATTCCTACATGCCTTTAAGAGTCACTCAAAAAAGAATGTTGTGCCCAAAAATGCATCTGCTACCACAAAACATCTCTTCACCTTTTTATTCACCCTCAAGCAGTTCTTAAAACCTCAGATTTCCTGAGCTATACAAAAACAGATCTTAACTTTACTTGTAATTTGTCAACAATGCGTAAGTTAAAAAGCAGGTGGAGGTATCTGTGATAATATTTAAATTAAATTATATATATTTAATTCGATGGAGTCTCCCTTCCTCTCCCTTCAATACTTATTTGTATTGAATTATAAACTCTGCAGCACAGCAACAGCCTGTGTATGGCACTTCCGTGCGTGTCTGCAATATAAACACTTATATTAAGATATTCCAAAATTAAGCAAGTAGTAAACCCTTTTTATCTGTACAAAATTTTAAAAATACATTAACTTTAACAGCAAATGGGAAAACTACAGCTGAACCAATTAAGTTGCACATCCACTACATAGTCTTGAAATGTCAATTTTCATGAAGTTGTTTCATCTTCTTCCTTCGATTAACTGATTTAAGTCAGACAATGAACTCTTCTCCAATTCGGCTAACGTACATTTCTTCACTGTAGTTATTATGTGTCAGCTAACTTTGATCTTTCACCATTAACTTCCGTACTGGCATGCCCCTTATCTTTCCAAGTTCTACTCAAACATCATACTCTCCCTTCTTCATTCCATTCTTTGTGACACCTACCAAGACGCCCTCAACTGGGGCAGCATCTAGTCTAATAGCGCTTCCCATGGACAGAAGCTTCTCTTCCCAGAATAGCACAACGGTTGACCAAGTGAAGCTCACTAGAGTCATGATCCGCTCTGTACCAGCGCCCCACTATAATGGCTGCATATCTTCTGCACAGGAGGTAAAACAGCTGTGCGCATGTAAGCCACACAAAGCAACCAAGTTAAGTGGTTTGGGCAGGCAGTGTGGACAGGGCAGAAGCATGACAGCCAGACATTTTGGCTGAAGCAATTTTAACCCTCTTTGACTGTTTAACCTGTGTTACAGCCTAGTTTAAGCATCGTTGTTTACACAATACTCTCAAACAAACAAGAGCCCTACAACACACATTAACTGTTCTCTTCTATAGAATAACTAGTAGTATGTGTTCAAGAATAAATTTAATGCAAAGCTTGAAAAGGGTACCTACGATTAACTGATTTAAGTCAGACAATGAACTCTTCTCCAATTCGGCTAACGTACATTTCTTCACTGTAGTTATTATGTGTCAGCTAACTTTGATCTTTCACCATTAACTTCCGTACTGGCATGCCCCTTATCTTTCCAAGTTCTACTCAAACATCATACTCTCCCTTCTTCATTCCATTCTTTGTGACACCTACCAAGACGCCCTCAACTGGGGCAGCATCTAGTCTAATAGCGCTTCCCATGGACAGAAGCTTCTCTTCCCAGAATAGCACAACGGTTGACCAAGTGAAGCTCACTAGAGTCATGATCCGCTCTGTACCAGCGCCCCACTATAATGGCTGCATATCTTCTGCACAGGAGGTAAAACAGCTGTGCGCATGTAAGCCACACAAAGCAACCAAGTTAAGTGGTTTGGGCAGGCAGTGTGGACAGGGCAGAAGCATGACAGCCAGACATTTTGGCTGAAGCAATTTTAACCCTCTTTGACTGTTTAACCTGTGTTACAGCCTAGTTTAAGCATCGTTGTTTACACAATACTCTCAAACAAACAAGAGCCCTACAACACACATTAACTGTTCTCTTCTATAGAATAACTAGTAGTATGTGTTCAAGAATAAATTTAATGCAAAGCTTGAAAAGGGTACCTAACTAATAACTGCTTTCGGAGCTTTTAAATACTATCTTACTCTGAGGTATATGTCTATTACTGTAAAAGTTTATGCATCACATTCTAAAATCTAGGGTCCAAGAAAAAGACTAATTTTATTTTCTAAGTCAAGCAAGCTATAGAAAAATGGAAAGAAGTAGCATGTGGCTTGTGTCCAAGTGTTACTGTTTAGCATAACACTTCATGCAAGTAATGCAAAGTCTATATACTCAGAATTGTTTACATCTGAATAAATAGGGTAAAATAGCAAATACAGTATTTAAAATTATCTACAAAAGTGTGTTTTACCAAGTATTCACTGTTTGTATCAAGTCTTAAAGCAGAAAGCTGTCAGGGCAATACCAAAGATTGTGAAGTAAAAGAAAAATTAAATGGAGACATTTGAAGAAATCTCCTCAGAAAACAAATTCGTATTTGTTAACTAAACTGAAACTAAAACAAAGACTAAAGCTATTAGGTGGCCTTACCAGCAAACACCCTCAATCAAAAGTCCATAAACAAGTATGCTTTACATATTATTTGATTTGTTTATTTTACACCATGAGGTGAAAGCAACACATTTCCTTTTAGTAAAGTATACACAAATAGCCTCACTCAGAATACACTTTTAATGCACATAAAAAAAGTATTCATCTTACAAATCATTTTGCAATCCAAATATACAATAGCTTGGAAAACAATATTTTAGAAAACAAAAGCCAATGTAAAAAGACCGCTTAAAACAACTAAAATGATAAAAGTTTCTGTATGGCTCTGTCTTTACAGTTTTCTTACTGCATCAGCAATATCAGAAATCTGTTCCTTCAGCTGGTTCCACTGTTCTGGATTTAAAGAAATACCTGAAAAGCATTAAAAGCAAACACTTAATACAAAAAGAAAATTGTTGTGCAAGATCTTGCATAATTGCTATCAAAGCTGGTTTCAGACACAAAGTCTATGTCACAACTATTAATGCTTGAGGTACTTCAGCAACCATGTCACAAAGTGAAACTACTCATTTGGAACATTTCAGGTTAACTTTAGACTCCAACTTACCTCTGGACAAGTTTAAATTACAAAGAAAATGAGTACAGTGTAACAAATTCATTCTCTTGTATTAGGTTAAATACAGGAAGTGAAATACAGCTCTGGCCTTGATAGAAAGCAGCACAGAAGCTCTGAGCGAGATGTTGGAAACCGTTCCTATTCCTGTTGGCTCCTAACTGCCATACCTCTGTGGACTGAACTTCTATGCACTTTTAAAGTACCACAATATGGAGGAGAGGCAGGGTCCTCCTGTTTCTTAAAGCACTATAAATAACACATACCGTAAGTAACATTTTGGACACTCTATTCCACTCTCTAACACTCACAAATCAACACGGAAGTTATGTTTTCACTTCAAGTTCACTATAGTTTCTAGTGACATTGAATCAATAATCATCCAGCGCCCCACAACCTCAATCTCCTCAATTCTAAATCTGTACCTCCTCAAGCTTGAGTCCAGGCATGTCTCTTTTGTGGTTTAGTCTCATTATTCTTCCCCTACAATCTCTATGCCAGCTCTATGGAAGTACAGACTCACAGGCCTACCTCTCATACTCTCTCCAGCCAGGCTCTTCTACTATTTACCCCCACTCTTCCCCCTCAGCGATCAGGCTTCCTTCATTGCTTTCTCCCTGTAGGAGAAGCAGGACCTGAAAACAGGTGAAACTTTGAATTCCATTTCTGGGGCCCATCGTCTTTTTTTTCTTCTACCATCACTATCGTATCAGAGCACCACCATAATTCTAAGCAGTGAGCAGTCTGCATGGAGCTACTCTAAGCAGTTTTCCACCAGTCTTTAGAGGGCAGGTTTCATCTGAAAACAGTTAGGCCAGATCTGCTAACCATTATCAGGGGACCAAATGTCATCAAGATGTCCTTGAACCACATATCAGATGGACTACATGCCATTCAGACCTGCTGTTTGAAACAATCTGACACAATAATTTGAACGGTTGGATATTTTTTCTGGTTTTTATTACACAATTTCAATTGTTTATACTGGTTTTCGGATAGCTAGATAAGCAGCTCCTAAGTGGATCAATGGAATATCTGACTCACACACTATATCAGACTATTATTAATTTTATCCTAATAAAATTCAGGCCCTTTTGCCACACTGATAAACATTTCTGTCTACATCATGTAATTTTTGTCACTTGGCCCACCCATCAAATCTCACTGTAGTTGCCACTCAAACTACATATAATTTTGACTGACACCTCAAAACGCAGCACATTGAAGTCCTTAGAATTCAGCATAATCCTTTTTGTTAAGTAGCAACAACAAATCCAAACCAAGAAATTTTCCTGTACAGTACCAGTACACCTGCTCGTACAAACCTATTCTCAGTGGTTATTTAAGAAATGCTGAAAATGCTTCTCAAGCTCTCCAAATGTCTATTCACTGAGTTGTTCCTCGACATACCAGAAGAATGTAACACACCTTGTGCTGATTGAAGACATTTAATACACAATCTCTAGGGCAGAACATTTCATACTTACCTCTTTCCTTGGTGCAATGTGAAAACTGATTAAAAGCAGCTTTTTCTAACAGTAGCAACATGACATTAAGCAAAGCACTACTACTGCAACTACCCTTGCATCCTCATCTTGCAGGTAGCAAAGTTCTGATAATGGTTCAGTGAAGGCATGTCATAAAAAGCAGGTATGGGAGTGGCAATTGAAGGTACAACAGCTAATGCTGTACTGCAGATTAGGAGCACGGTACCAAAACCTGAACACTTGGGGTATTTTCACCTCAACTAAATTCTTGATGTTTTTTCCAAAATTAGTCACATTAAATGTTTGAATTATTTTAATCTGAAATTTGATAGAAATTGAGGGATGTAATTGTTTTAAAGAAATTAACATCTTATCACAAGTAAGTTAAATGTTTTCAGTGAATTTTAAAATAAAAAATCCAGTTCTAATAGAAGAAAAAAATTATGTTGATTAAGTTAATCAGGAGGGGAAGGGGGAGAGGGGGCAGTAAGTATGGCTATGTTTATAACTCCCATGACAAATTTACTTATGTTTGATGCCTTGTTTTCCGTAAAGGACCTATTTAGGAAAACAGATTTGGGCCAACAAACACACCTTGCTTTTGTTTATAATCTACAGACAAAACTAATCATTTGTTAATGTATAAATAATGTGAGAGTAAAAATATTACTTTAAAAATATCAAGTAGCAACAAAGTATAAAAATCTGTTACACAAAGTTCTCCAGCAAACTGCAGACAATGTTTTAATACAAAATAACATGAAGGAGAACAATACCTTTTCTGCCAGGCTTCATTTCACCTTCTTGATCCATCCAATATTCTCTAATATCAATTAAGACTTTCCCTTTAAAGTCACGAACACTGACATACCTCATTTTGCCAATCTGTCAAAACACATATAAGGGTCTTTTAGGTATTTTATATATCACAGCATTCACTTTTCCCGTTATCAGACTCAGACATGTGACGTTGCACACTGCAGCTTATTTTAGACACCAGAGAAAAAACTAGATCAAAAGCTTAATCCAGAGTAGTCAGTAGGCTAATAAGTAATGACAACATAAATGGATGAACGACTTAAAACAAGTTGAGCATTCAATGCTCAGTGCAAAAGTAGCTCTCCTAGAACAAAAATACCTATATTCTTAACATGCTTACTTCTTACAGAAGCCACTAATTTACTGTTTTCTGAAATAAAATTTTGCCTCTATTATAACTATCTTTGTTTGCAGTACTTGTAAACGAATGGGGGAAGAGGGAGCTGTACTCCCAAATCTACATTTTAGTCCATCCCATGTGTACAGAAAGCAAATTAGATATTCACATGAGATAACCACAATTTCTGGAGGGTTTTTTGCTTTTTTTGGTGTTTTTTTTTTTTCTTCAAACACCGTAAATACAGATGGAAAAGTTAGCCACCAACTGTCCCATGCCCACTTCCAAATCCTCATGGCACTTCATTGGAACTGTGATTAAAAGACTATCTTACTGTACCAGGCGTTCCAAATAAACACTTTTAAGGTGTTAAAAAAAAAAATCTTTTAAGTTTACCAGTATGTAGCATTATAGGAAAAGACTTTGGAATTCCGTAATTTCTGCACCACAGTGTCTTAAGTGAATTATGAGGATGCCTTTTTGGGGAGGGGGAGGCGGGGGAAGGGCAGCAGTCACACTGACAACTATGCATTATACTACAGATTTAGGCTCCTTAAAGATCTTTCCAAATTTGATAAACTACTTGTTGACATACATTCAAAGTATAATGTGAATTTGAGAATCAGAAATTAGATCATAAAAACACAACCAAATACAATTCATGTAAGAAATTCTTTAATTCTGTATGTGCCTTCTTGATACACTTTATGAAGAAAGAACACATTCTAAAGTAAACAACTTTAAAATAGAATATTCCTTCCTGATAAAATATTATCCTTAGTTTTCAACTTAGTTTATGCATCTTGCATTTTGATACAATATAACAAGGGCCCAAACACATCTTAGTAGCATTAAGCCTGACCAGAAAGGTTGAACAACTCTCCAATCAACCAAAAATCATCCACAGACGTTTAAGACATAAGATGTTATTTCACAAAATAAATATAAACAAGAATGCTTTATGTTTGCTTAAAGTAATTTTTCTTCTTATGCAGATCATGTTAAATTAACTCTAAAATTGATTTTAAAACAATTAGGACACCTTTAGATACCGTAAGCCTGAAGCAGCTCTTTTCCTACTTTAAAGCACCCTTTAAAATGAACAAGACATTACCATTGGTAAGATAGTATTTTTGATTGATTTATTAAATACTTCCACAGTACTACAAATTTAACATTTAAAAATAAAGTATGATGTCATTGTAGCTTAGTTCTTTCAGACCAAACTTGGTACCACGCTCAAGTCCATCAGCACTGCTGGCAAAGAATATCCTAAATAGCCTACATGAACAGCATTTCTTGGTTTTATCCTTTAACGCTTCAGTGACTTCTAAGGTCACCTCTAAGAACAGCTTCAAGTAGTAATACTCCACAACACCTTTTTTTTTTCCCCAGGGCTATCAAAGAATATTAGTATATTGTCAACTAATTCCAGATTTGCTCTAAGAAAAACAGCTGAAAATACAGTAAAAGCATTTAGGATTTGAAATCTAAGGATAAGACTGTATGTCTTATTCCAATTACAGTAAGGCAAGGGGCAATAATGCAAAGTTCACATTTACTCACACAGTAAGTCCACCTTAAATGGAAACAGTTCTATATGAAAATGCTGAATTTAAGTTAGGTTTTACATCACTTGAGTTCAGCTGAATGGTCACATTAAATTTTGAATGCAAAAGCTGCCACTGCTAAAAGCTTTAAGTAGGCTTCTGAAGTACAGTTTCAATTAACATCTAAGGTTAAAAACGTCATCCAAAATCCAGACCTAACTATTTAGGTAAATTGATGTTTCTTGATGTTCAGTTGCCTGCAATTCTGGCACAGATTCATTTGTGAACAATTTTTTTTTCACACAGCAGCTGACAGTCCTAGAATAATTTCACTGATCTAAGACATCTTTGTATCTCTATAACCACAGTAGTGTTCCAAGGATTGTATTGATTTATAGCAGCGTAGTAACTGCAGTTCAACCTTCATAGACAAGCTGATATGCCTTTTATTAAATATTACAGCTCCTTAGACTATACTACTCTATTGAATTACATAAATCAGAAGACATTAAAAACATTATTTCCAGGTTTCCGTTTCTTAGAGTAAAATGCACTGAACTGTGTCTCAGTTGCTTTCACAGTTATGCAATTGACTTCCTGTCTGAGTTTCAGCAAGCACCTTCTTCACCATTTTTCCTCCTATTTCCAGTTTGTCTTGATTAAACTGTATACATACTGTGGAAGTAGAAACAGCAAAAAAAAACCTAATCCTTCTTTCTTAGCTGCTATCTGTATGTATAACATTAGATGGAGCACAATAGAGTCCTGTAAACAGTGAAATCTGCAACACAGCAAACTGATTGTGCAATGTATCAGTGACCACTTAAGTTTCAGAATTAGTGTGCTAAACCAATCACCCTTCCACAGCATCATAAACTTAAATATTTATCTTCTTTCAGAAGTCTATGATAGATAAAGACATTACACTGGGAAACCAAAGAACTTACTCCTCCCAAGTCAAAAAGCAAGTATGACCCAAACTTAGAAAAGAAAAGAGACAGGGGAGGAGGGACAAGACACAGACAGATGACTTTCGAAGTAACAATTTTAGTAAAATGCCTGATCATGTGATGTGGTTCCACTCTGGGTGCATTAATACTGCATCCTGACAGCGTTAACAAACCTTACCCAAATCAGGCATAGGTAGAAGACAGGATTTGTCAAACTAACCAAAGCACATGATGCAGACCTCACATTGGCTTGAAGCCACAAACAGGAATCTAATGTATCAACACTGAACCCCTCCACATTAACATGAATAATGCTTGTCCTTAGGGCCTCTAGTAATACATCACAAATGGAAGCAAGATAAACTTCCGCAACCCAACTGCACCCAAATGATTTAATTCCAAAGTTTACCAGGCTACTTACAAAACCTAAAAAGGCCAAGACACATAAATAAATAAAATACACTTGGTATCTTATACTGAATTAATTCCCTTCTGCTTATATTTACACTGTTCTTCATCATGAGTTTCAAGAATACCATTACACCAACATTAGTCTCAAATAAAAATAAGAAAATTTAGATCTTTATGAAAATGCACAATCTTCTGAATACAGCAGTCACAATGAGCTCTATATTAAGGGAAGCTGTATACTTTAAGACCAAAGACAGAGGGTGTAAAACAAGCCTCTAAGTTTCACATCATTTGCTGCCACTCCCACACACAATATGGACATCACAGAATTTTTGACTATCCTACGAATGCTTTACAGCTTGATTTCCATCAATTGAAGCCACACTTATACTGCAAAGTTACTTGCACATCACAGATCATTTTACTGCCATGGGAAGGCAGAAAGGAGAGTTTCTAGTATTACTAATAGTCCTAGAACAAACAAACCCATACCTAAAAAATTAATACCCACGTAGATCTTCCAGAATGCTGTCCTGGGTGGGGGAGATAGAGCAGAAGCATCCTCAGACCTACAGCGCTATTTCTACACTGAAACAGTTGCATCTTAGTTAACACACATAATCTGATGTAGCATGAAACAACTCACAATACTTCACATAACACAGTAAGCTATCTAAAAAAAAAAAGTTATTGTTGACTTACTAAAAGGCAGGCAGAGACTAAGTAACACTGATGTTTTAGGTCAAGGTGATATTCAAGTATTTTTCTGTACTATACTCAACACTGGAAGAATCTTGTTCTTATCAGACTAATAGGGGTCCTCTACTGTCTGGTTTTAGTAATTTTTTATTAGCTTAGGTCAAAAAGGTTGAAAGAAATCAAAGCACACAAATATTTTTGCTTTTATTTGAAAAGGGTTTGGGTTTTTTTGCATCAGAAGAGCAATAAAGATTTTAACCACTTTCCCCAAGGCTGGAATTTCTGAACCTATTACAAACACAGCATAAAGTTTATACAAAGTTTTATTGAGTTCTAACTGCATTTCACATCATTAGGTGTTGAAGACACTATCTCATTTTTTCAACATGGTTGAAAGCACGCCCCAGCAGAACTAAAAACATCATACTCTTCCTCTTATAGGGAAGTCCAACCACTGCCTTCAATTGAAGCTCTCCCTCCCAACTATACATGAAAAGTGAGAAGCGACACATTAAAAACAACCACCCTGTATTATACCATAAGTTAAGCAGGTCTTCTCTCTAGATTTTTTTTTTTTTCCATATTACATTGCACAGCTACAGCCCAAAACCGCTTCTTTGCGTTACTCGGTGTTGGGGCCACCTTATTAGGCACCTCTCCCATACCCTTTCATAATCTTAAGAATCCAAGTCTTTAAGAATTTAAGTGTCTTTCCAGGCAGCTAGTTGCAGACATTTAGTAAGTCTTGATCCATGCCCCTAAAACAGGTAATTCTGACCTCCACATATTCGTGCACGGCTTTCAGCACATACTGCTACTGCCTCAGCTCACCCCAGGAACTGCAATAGCCTGAATTCACAAGTGCATCCTGCTACTGAAAAGTGTACATTCGTACCACCTTAAAAACAAGAACAAAGTAAAAAATTACAATCTTTTGGGATGTTCAGTAAAGAAAACCTCCATCATAAAACAAAGGATCAAACAGAACATGCTCCACGACACTGTCTTATCATACAGGAGCCAAGTTGCCCTTGACCTAGTTAAACAGGGATGAAGAGTCCATACTTTCGTTTCCAAGAACCTTTCTTTCAAGAGCCCTGACTAAAAAACATTTCCACATAGGGATAGTCCTGATCTAATATTTACAGTATACTCATGGCAAGTGCTGTATTTACAGACAAAATGACTATCCCAAGAGTTACCATGAGCAAAAATATGAGGGTTAGATCAACTACTACAACTCAGATTCTTTTACTCTGCAGAAACCTGACAACGCTTTTTCTGAACATCTCATCTGCATGCTAGCGTCGTAATCCTCTTTGGCCAAGGCTTCAGGAGACCAAACACTATTCTGTCAGGATATTCAGATCACCTTGTAAAATTTATACTGAATATGATGTAACATGTTACCTTAACCGGGCTCTAAGCATCATCAATTTTACCTGAAACATATTCTCGTCTCTGTTACTGCTTTGCTTAGAAGAAGCTGCACCTTTTGAACTTTCACCAGTCTTTTGTTTCTTTACAGGCTTTTCTGGAGCTGCTTGCTTTTTCCGCTTTGCCTTGGAGCAAGAATAAAAAAAGAAAAGCATGAACCACAACTCATTCTACAGATTACAATAAAATTTAGAGCAGAGGTCACAAACTACTACTACGCAATGCACATTATCACCTTCCGTCTGTAAAGGCAGGAATCTAATACTGCACATTTAGACTGGAATTTAAAAAAAATAATCTTCAAATAAGCCTCATTCTGTTCCCAGTGAAGTTTACCATAATACTTTGGCTTTAAAGAGAACTGAATTAGATCAAAATACATTTCAAAAAGCCCATTCTTCCTGAGCGATATTACAGTTGGTTTAGTAGTTTTAATAAAAAATTCAAAGCCTGATGGAAGTTTCACCTTCCTTTCCAGCAACTGCAACAAAAAATGCAGGACAGCTTACAGCTATTCTAAAAAAGAAAAAATAATACATGAGATAATGAAGAAAGGCTCTGGAAATCACCTCTGTCAGAGGTGTGGTCTCTTTAAATCAGCATCAAATAGGATGATACATTAAACATATTTTTAAAACATTCAGACACTATCACCTGTAAAACAGATTACCCGCAGATGCTCCAAAGTTACTACTTCTACAAATGGTTATATAGTAACCGTCCCACACCAAAAAAGAGTAATACAAACATACCAGAAATTAGTCTCACCTGCTAGAACCATTATTGTGGATAACCTCTTTTAAAGATGAACAGTTCCAACAAATACAGGTTATAATAGAAAAAAAGAAAAAAGCACCTTACTGCCCACTAAAGCAGACTGTTAGACTATGTATTTTCGAAATACATTTCCCTATCAAAAAAAATCACCTGACCATTTTCTCTTATATTAAGATTCCACAAAACACCTAATTTGCAAAGTGCAACTACATCATGTTTGAACTCACTAAAGCAGACTCAGTCTCTTCACATACTACACTGAAAGACCTGATGTCTGTGTTGCTACCTAGCATTTCTCAAAAAGATAAATTCACAGGGTTTTTTTCCACTTTTCGTTCATAATGACCAGTACATCTATAAAAATGTATAAATTATACAACTATTAAAAATAAATGGGAACACTCAATTTATACATTCAAAACAGTCAACATATGTTAAAATTAATCAACTCAAAGACATTCAGGTTGGCTCAGCTTTTAAGTGAGAAACTAGCAGGTGGTATTACAGTAAATGTAAGAATCTGTAGGAAACCGAGAAAAAGAATATGCAAACAAGATAACAAGAGGCACATGGAGGACAGGGCAAGTGGAGGTTTTTCTTTTGGACAAGTAATCTAGATACCAAAATGGGATGGCGGTGTTTGTCCTCAAAATTAGTCCAAATTCTTGCCACCAGGGGCAGATTATACAGAAGCCTTCTATCACTTGCCACAAAGCAGCAAAGAATTCCAGGAACCTTGTGGTTAGATATATATCATATGGAAAACCCTGAAGAGAGCAAAATGCAACTTATGAAAAAAAGTTTACTGCAATGCAAAAATCATCCTATGCACCCAAACCCTAACCTTGGGAGGTGGGTTTTTTTATGTTGCTGTAGTTGTTGTGGGGAGGGGGTGTTTTAAGTTAAGTGTCTAATAAATTATATGCAATGAGATGCATGTTGTGACATACTGCTCACCTAATTCCTTAACCCCAGCGTGAAATATAAATGTTAATTCAGTAGTAATAAACTGCATATAATGTTCACCTTTTTGTCAACTTCACTATCTGAATCACTGGCAGATGAGCTTGAAGACACAAGTTCCTTTGACTTAGGCATTCTAGGAAGAGAAAAAAAAAACATGAGAACACTACACAAGGAATACATCCCATTACAGCTGGAAAGTCATCTTGAGACCCATTCATAAAGGCTCATCTTATTCAAAACCCTCCTAAAGACTTTCCTGCCTTTTCATGTAAGCTTTAATACACAATGTAGATGCAATCTCAAACACTTTCACATCTCTTCCACTTTTTGCTGCACCTGCATTAAATGCAGTGCTTTAGTTTCTGAACTGTTTACAAAGGGACAATTTTTCACCAGTTTCATATACCCCTAGGTATGGCAGAAACCATAATGAAAAAATACAGTACAGTACTGTTCCCCAGCTAAATTCTTTATGTTACATTCACAAATATAAACTATGAAAGACCTAGCATTACCTAGACTTTTACATAGGCATTTCACTCAGATGGATTTGCAAACAACATGCTGCGTAATCATCACACATGAAGTTAAAGTTCCCACCAATGATACAGCAGTCTGAAAAACACCTGAGTTACACTGAACTACAGTATAGCAATTAATATTTCCCCTGCAGCTTCAACACATCAGTCACTAGAGCCTATTCATTTGCCAGACAAGTGGATGTTCAACTTTCCTTGAATGCATGCTGCCAGGTGTGCATCTACATCTCTCTAGTATGCAAACACGTGGTTAGATAAAGCAGTTGCACATCTTGCCCGCTACTAGAAAGTCTTTGTAACAAATAAATAGCTCATTTGTTCTTTCAAAATAAAAATAAGCATTCCAGAGAGAAACTGTATAAAATAAACTATAGTTAGGAAAAGCTAAGAAAATATTAAAGCAGCATATCTCCGGAAAGAAAAAAGAATCGCAGTGTTTTTAAACTGGCAGCTAAAAAAGCCATATGCAAATAAAAAAAAAAACGGTTCCTGAATAATGCTAATGGATCAACATGTTTCTAAAGTAGGGTAAGTTCTGTCGCAATAGCGTGGAGCACACGATGGAAGCTGTGGCACTGAAAATGAAACAAGGTATGGGGGAACACACATAAACCACGCTGCAGGATGGAGGCAGAGGAGAGCTGGAATGGGACAACGTGAAAATAAGCACAGCCATGACATGAAGTCGGGGAGCCGAACAAGAAAAGACTTCATAGGCGAGGGGCGCGGGCACCAGCAGGGGATAACTCCGGGGTCCGCGTCGGGATGAGGGAGTGACAATATGGAGGAAGGTGGGGGCGGAAACCGGCGGAAAAATAAATGGGGGGTGGTAGGTGCCCCTCGGGAGAGACTGGCAGGCAGAGCGTGAGGAGACACCGAACCACCGGTGAGAGCGAGGGCGGAATGAGACGGGCCAAGCGAGGACGAAGGAAAGGGAGAGGAGAAAGACAAGCGAGGACGAGGTAGGAACACCAGGTAGGCGGATCCCAGCCGCCATTTTCCTCCCCTATTCCTCTTTTCCACGGCTCGTGTTGCCCCCCAGGGGAAAGGAGCGAGGGCCCGAACAGGGGGGCGCAGGCAAGGACACCTAGGTCCCGCCAGGGGAGGGTGGCAGCTAGAGGGGTGCAGGTCACGGGGGGCGTCGGAGGAAAAGAGCAGCACAAAAAACAAGGGTCGGGGGTCGTTCGCGGGCAGGATCAGATCCCGAGGTGGGGGGGACGGAGCCGGGCGGTTCCCCGCC